AGGGCCTTTGGAGGTTACAGTAATTTATAATCGAGGTCTTGCACATGCACCGGAAATGAGGTAGAAACGAGAGATTTCTGAGAGATTTGAGTGACAAGGTGTTTTTACGTACTGTACTAGACAACTAATTTTGATAGCGTGGTCTCACTGGAGTCTCGGCAGAGTATTCAGTTCGAGTCATAGTTTAGACCTGTACCTCTTGATGTGGGGTTGACAGTCATATCTCTTTTCATGGGCAAATGATCTTGAATGACAGATTGATGACAACCACCATGTGGCCCCCTAGAAGAGACCTTCATGCGACACGTCCGTAAGACTTGGGCTTGGCGACAAAAAGCTCCTCTATGGAAAGTCCGAGGTCCTCGCAAAGATGGACCGTCCCCGCTTCGAGCACCCTCACTACACCTGGACGGTCCAATGCAAGAGCCTCAGAAGTTGGGCAACCACAACCTTTGCAAATGGATGCAAATGGAGCATATGTCATACTTTTTGGTGGTATTGCATGGTATATTTCTTACCTTAAGGATCCTTAAGGGATTGATTTTGCTCGAAGTGAGCTACCTCCACCATTTGTTCAAACTCCAGCAGCACTAAAATCTTATTCTGATAAAGACCTTTGCTAGATCTATTCCTCGTTTTAGGTGAGAAGCAATTGGTAGCTTGTGGGAAAACTATCATTTGTATTTCTGAACCCTTTATATACTGTACTTTTGCTTTTCGGCTTGAACTTGATGCTTATGAATGCTTATGACACAACATGAACCGATCTCATCTCATCTCATCCAATCACCATCGTCCTTTCAGTTGCCTATCACAAGGCTACCACTACCGGACTGTCACCAGGACGACCAGGGACAAGGACGGGAGAACTTGCTGGGAGGGACAGATCCCACACCATCAATGTCGCACTATAGAGGAAGTCATGGCAGGAAGTCCAGGTTTCATCAGTCGTGCAATCTCGTGTAGTGAAACCAACACTTTCATGTGCACCAAGCAATTGTTCAACTCCAAGACGCAAAAAAGTGAAGAAGCCTGTTGGTTGCTGTCCAACAGCCAATTGAATCCACTCAGATGCATCGATTGAAGTCATCCTTGGGCGCAGTTGCTTCACCCACAGACCGCACACCGCGCAGTCATCGATGGCAGGATGGCAGAACACAGACCCACACCGAGCGGAAGCGGGTGAACACCCACTATGCCCGTGCGACGGGTGTCATTCCCTCAGAGGACCGGGTCGTTTGAGTGTTTTCCCAGCCTCTTATTGGGTTCCTAAGACCAAAAAAGGTTTCCAAGTGTTTACAAGTTACATCGATTTGTTTTGTTTTGTTTTACAATTGTTTCCCAAAATCAATACAGACATGTACAGACCAACATGTGAATGGATTCCTGATTTATCATGATGTATCTATTGCTTTGCTTCCTAGCAAGCTTGGCCATTCCCACTGGTTCTGGTTCTGTGGTGTCGTCCTGGGTTTGTTGGCCTTCAGGTGCAAGCGCAAGGTGTGCTGACTGTCCATGGAAAAAGTCCATAATATCAATAGGTGTGGAACCACTGAGAAAGGCCCTTGAGCCCCCTGGGCTTGACAATTTTCCAAAATGCCAGTTCAAACACGAACAGCTGGAGAGAGCTCGCAAAGCCTATTTGCTGAAGCCCATTTGCTTTGCAATATGTTTGGACACACTCCCGTCACAAGGTCGATGTGTCCCTAAAAACCGACCTGTTCCACAGCTGTGCATCTCAGTGCCGGAATCGATGGTCATCCAGGACCAGACACCAGAGTTCATCCCCAACACCAGGGCGACACAGACCCAAATCGTGCCGTGGCAAAAGAAGAGTGAGACAGTATCACACTAGAGCTGAGACAGTACACTAGATTGAATGCATGTAAATGTTTGGAGGTATCAAGATTTAGACATAAAAATGTGTATATATATAATGATGTGTCGTGCCATGCTTTGGCCTCACCCATACGGAAAGGAGCTAGGTCACCCATTGTGCCAAGCTTTCACCCTTCATCCGAACGGTACGTAGCTCGGTACGTCGGAGCTCGTCGCGTCGTCGGTGCGGAGCGTCGGACGTTGTCGCTCAAAGGACACGACGCTGGAGTTGGACTTGTCGAGGAGCAATTACATCGACAGCTACCACAGCTTTTGCAGGTTCCATCGGCGTGATGTGCATCAAAAGGTCCTAGTAGAAGACAATTTGCTAGTAATTACAATTCCAATTAAATTCTTGTTGTCACTAGTAGTAAGGCACTTGTTCCTACTAGCGTGGCACTTGTTACCACAGCTTTTGCAGGTTCCATCGGCGTGATGTGCATCAGGACGAAAGGGAGAGAGTTCGGGACGACGAAAAGGGACGGAGAAAGGTCACGAGGCTACTACGGTGGTTTCCACACCCACCCACCCACCTGTGGAAGGCAAGAGTTTACATTATCGCGCCGAAATTGTTGATTGATCCGGCTAGTAGAAGATAGTAGAAGTAAGTACAGTAGGAGAATCATGTTCAGTTCTTTGTTTTGCTTTCGTTGTTGAACCTTGCTGGAGTCTCATGTCATGAACAGATAGTTGGACTATGTGATGAATCCGAAGCTCAGCATGATCTTCAAACCATATCAAACCCCAATCTACATGCAGCTCGTTCACATGTGATGCCACGGGAGATTTCGAGCGTTCGATTCCGCGGCGAGGACTGCCATCGGAACGAGGAATTGCCCTCGCGCTGTACCAGCTGTTTGGCCGTGTGGTCCCAGCGGATCCTTCGCCCCGATCGCCGTTTCAAAGGGTCGAAGATGGTCGGAGTCGGAGCGACGCAGTCGGCGCGCAGTCGGTGAAAAGCACGGGGCGTTCAGAGAGCTGAGGCGTTGCTTTCAGAACAGAACGAGCTCGCTGGATCTCCACCAGACATGAAGAAGCGTCATGACTTGGGTGTGTATTTTAATGGGGAGACACCCAACCAATTCGGTAGAGAGTCATGACTGGTCTATTTCCCGAACCTTCCGGGGGCCCGGGGATTCTTTGGGAGGCCTCCCTATTTTGATACACACCCATGTCATGAATTGGACTCTCTGCTCGACACTGACTGACAAAGACCAACAAAGCCAGTGATTTCTGGGGTTCCGAGGAACATGCCTTGCTGGCTGAATGCTGGTTGCTATTGGGCGGCAAATCTGTTCGCCAACTTGACTGCACTTATGCCAACCACAGGCATCTCACTGTCCCGTACAACAAACGATGAGGGAAGCTTCAGTGCTTCTGTCCCCACAATGAATCTCCAATGATATCATGGCATGGTTTCATTTGTTTGTTCCGGAATTTGAGGAATGCTTCAGGATTTCGGATTTGAAAGAGGATGATGGCAAACCATGGCAAACCCACTAAACCTCGACTTAAAAAGAATGTGTATATATATATATATAGATGACAATATGTATGACAGACTGAGTATGTCATAGAGCTGATATTATATCAACATCCTCGCTCTCTTGGCATTCCCTGCTTTCAGGCGATGAGTTTCTTGTATCGTTTTCTGGCACAGTCTCGGATTGGGAGCCAGCGGTACATCTATTTGACTCCAGGATGCACCGCTGGTGGCCTTTGGGTCCGTTCGTGCGTTTGTCGCCCTGGTCGTGACAGCTGCTGTTACTCACGTTCACTCTCCGTTAGCAGTGCAAAGTTCTCCATGACACGGTTACCTTGCGAAGCAGTTTCTGTAGTGTAATCTTGCTGGATAAGAACATGTTGCATCAGTTGCATCCTTGGAATATCCTGAGGAAGAAGTGCTTCAACATCAGGTGCCTTAGCTGAGTTTGGCCACCACATCTCTTGCTGTCTCAGTGACAGCGTGAGGGTGTTGCAGTCTCCAAAGAACAGGCATCATTTGGTTCACTGCAGATCTTGAGAAAGAGACTCTCGCTTATTTGACACTCAACAAGGATCTCAACTGAAGGTCTAGACACAAAGAATTGTCAACTGTTGTCATGCACGGAAATCCATGCAGAGATCACTCAGATCACCCATAAGCTACTAGTAGCACCTGGCATTGCTACTAGTAACAAGAAGCTACTAGTAACAAGGGCATTGCTACTACGAACAAGAAGCTACTAGTATCTCCTGGCATTACTACTAGTAACAAAAGTTGACACTTCAGGTCCGCCTCTGGGAACTCCCACATGTCACCACAGATGGATTCTGCCTTTGAAAGACAGATTTCAAGGTCCTCTCGTCATGTTCCCATCAAAACGGAGATGTATCGAACAATCATCGAACCACGAGAGAAACGGAGTGGTCGTCTTGACGGAACCCTGAGAAGTGCCGAGGAGATACTAACACCGGACCTGGTGCAGCCAAACCCCACAGATGTTCGAAGAGATCTTTGAAGAGACCAATGATGCTTGATCATGAGCTCTCTTTGACCACTGCAATGCATAGAGATCTGAAGGATTCTGTTTTAGCGCTTTGGCCCAAGCATTGCAACAATCCTACCGTGGAACTTCCCTCCTTCACACTGGCAAGATTGCTGTGCTGTCGGGGTGTGAAACAAAAAAGAGCGCGCCGACCATCGAGAGGTTGGCTTCTCCCCTATCGTGGGGCAGCCAACCAAGAGTTAAACTCACGGGGTTGGAGGTTCTGTGGCGATTCAGGATGCGCCCCCGCCAGCTACCACCGTCAGCTAGAGCCTGCTGGCTTCTTGAGAAGACTGAAAAAGCTTACTGCCAACAGTCCCGTTGGGTGCCTGTGAGGTAGGCTCAGGTTCTGCAGCGCGCACAAGCTGTGGACCACCAGAGGACTCAGAAAATAGGTTTTCATGTGTCCGTACATTCCTCACCCTGCTCCTGCCACAACCACCACAAGAAACCCAATTTGCAGGAGGACGTATCCCATCCAAGAGGCTAAGCCGACCCAGCAATGCTCACCTGATCACTGAGTGTTGCTGTTCACCTATCACTGCCCCGTTGATAGCCACCCACCGAGTGTTTCCCCACATTGGTCCGATGGAGGTCTTACTTGCAGGCCTTCGTGGACAGGATACCATTGAAATGCTCAAAGAGAAGCTCATCAAGGCGCAAGATTCGCTGTCTTGTAGTCTTGTGAGTGTTGTACTGTATGGCAAGGTATGGCAATGCACTAGATATCCCTATGCTACTTGGAATTGCACCAGGATGGGATCACCGATGGACCTCCCCGGGTGTTTCTACCTCCACACGAGCTGCGGGACGGAACGCCGCAACGGGCGCACGAGCTCGCTGGGTGGTTGAAGCAATGGTCGGGTCGTGGCGTGTCACGTTCATCCGGAAGCAACTCGATCATGTGAAAGTAGCATAGTAGCATCGACAGTAGCCTTCTTAGGAGCCCCGTTCGTAGCATCCGACCGCTCCGTTCGTAGCGATGCCCTTTGCTCCGTTCGTAGCTTCTTGCTACTAATCGTTAAATGGAAAGTATGCCCAGCCGTTGTGAAAGCCTAGCACCCCCTACAGTTGTGGCGCCAAGGTGTAGACGGTGTAGACAGGTCAACACACTGAACCAATGGATATTTGCTTGAAGTCCAATCAACTACGATTGAGCAGTTGCATATCTTAATTGGAAGCCAACTTTAAAGGGAACACATGTCGACGTAGGGTTTGTTGCAAATGGTGGGACAATGTCGGGTTTCCCCCATGTCGGTGGGACACGAGTGCTTCTCCCTCGTCTTTCGTCAGAATCCCTTGAGAGGGCCTTAAAGCTCGCTCTGGATTCTTCAGAAGATTGCTTCGCCGCATTCGCCAAGAGCAAAGATTGCCTGGTCAAGCCATCTCCAGATTGGTCAACTAGAAAGCCGAGGGAGATGGCGGCTTGAGGGTGTGTTTTGTGCAGGATGAGATGAAGCTGGGGGAGTGCTACGTGCAGTGGACAGGCTTTGGCCTAGTGATGGCCCCAGTACACCAGCAGACCACATGAATCAACAAGTGCCACCCACTCGGTGGATGGAACGTGACCTAGAAACATTCAATTATAACACATGATGAACAAGATATACAACATTTCATAGGTTTAAAAGGTCATATTTAATGTACCAGATATACAAGTCTGGCAGGCCTTTTGTTTGTCTCACCCTTCTACCTCAAGGCATCGTATGATTTCATGACCAAAGATTCTTGGGTGCCTTTGTTGATCACGAACACCAAGCCAATGGAAGTTGTGTTCGACATATCTTGAGATGCTCTGAGATGGCATTTCTACCTGTCCTGAGAGTCTCAGTTTTTTTTCTCCGTCCAGTTTAAAGTTTAAATGTATGCCTCCAGCTTAACGAAAAAAAAAACACTGAACCGCTTTGTCAGAGGCGTGTGCTTACTCTAACTGCACACGTGCGAACGAAGGACAACTGGCCGCCTAAGTTCGTGGTGAAGCCTGAGCTCAAGGCTGAACAAAGCCACTGGACGGGTGGCATACATGGGAGGTGACAACTGTGAAGGGGTTCAGGGGGTCAGAGCTACTGTGAAGGGGTTCAGGGGGTCAGAGCTGGGGGTCCATCAATCTGCATGGAAAATGCTATATGAGGCTATATGATGCTCCTCCAGGACACGGGAAACAAGAGAGGGTCGATGTGTTCACCCGTTGGAGTCTTTGAGACGAAGTTCCGCGAAGTTCCGTCGGTTTCAGTGGTGGATCCCTTACAGCTACCACTGAAAGGCGCCCACCCTGCCCTTCTCAGCTACTGCCGGTTTCGCGAAAGAGTCAGGGCTTTGAGCTGGTGGTCAGTGTGCCGGGAACTCAGTCGGCCATTTCTGGACCAAAAAACAGACGCAAAGCCCGTTGTCGGGTGGAACGATTGTCAATTGTTTTCAGATGGAAAAGGATGCGAAGGATGTTCATTACCCAGGCGTGGTTTGGGACTAGGAATAGGTGGAAAGGCATGATTGAAAGGCTACACTGCGAAATACTCTGTATTCTGCAAAATGATGGAAAGGAATGTCGCTGTCCTTCCACACAGAATCCGGTCCCACGATGACCTGCGTTTTCGGACGTCTTCGGTCCACGGCACGTGTCCCTCTTCGCTCGCAGAGGCCTGCTTACGACACGACGGTGTGGGAGCAGGTGAAGGGCCAGAAGAAGCTGAAGAAGTACACCACAAGGCTCCGGCGTGGGCAAGGTGGAGTTTGGAATGCAAACTAGAACTGTATATATATATATATACTCCTAATCACCGCGTTTTCTCCAGTGGATTCAATCCTTGCGTTGGATTTGCTGATTCATATGCCACAGATCAGATCACAAGTCAGGTTGGTTGGACTGCTGATGCCTGCATTTCTTGAGCCGAATCTGTGACACCGGAGCCAGGCGCCTCATTCTGGACCTCCGGCCTCACGACAACGTCGGAGTGGTGAAGCGCATCGTTGAGCGCGGGCACCTGGGGCGGACTCTCTTGGACCAAGCAACGGGAAGGGAAGGATGAAGCTACCATGACCACCATAATGTACTACAACATACTGGTAAGATGTGCTGAGTATGGTGTCCTCAGCACAAACTTCCATGTTGATTCATGTTGCAGTCTCCAACCATCTGGGTGGATCCAAGAGGCAGAGGCTGCTGTCACATCTACAGTATTACTATTGGCTCGGATTTCCTCGCCTGCATTTCAAGTAGATCCAAGTAGTGTTTCCACTTGTCCTGGCCAGGCAGCGACTTGGAATTGCAGTTGCTACTTGGCGATGGATGAGCAAGACAGATGCATGGATCCTCATTGAAGTTTGTGCCACTCAATGATTGTTATCAAACTTCCAGTCCCACGGGTGGTTGTGTGAGATCATTTTGGATTCGACTCTCATCCAACCAAGCTGAGCCAAATCAATCTATAAACCAGGCAGTCAAAGAATCCAGGAGCCGGACTAAGTTCCACTCCACAGCACCCCGACCATAGCGCCTTCCTAGCGCCTTCCCAGTTGTCGAGGCTCAGCAGATCCTTTCGGCCGAAGTGGCCGGCGATCTCTTTGGGGCACCAGGACCGGTGGTGCTTCAGGGCATCGGTCGCTCAAGACCAGGTAGCCAGATGGTACTTCCAAAAGTGACTGAAGTGAACAAAGTCGCATCCACTCGCGCGGAATGTCGAGTCGATTCCATGGTGATCTCTAGGATTCTAGGAAGTCATTTCTTTGGCAGAAGAGAATGATGCAGATTGCTGCAGACCAACACTAAAGGCCGCCAAATGATTCGATCATTCAATGATGCTGGGAACAATAACGGTCCAAGTGACTCCGCCTAATGGACCTGGCATATTCACTCCTCGGCTCCTCTGCAGGACACCATACCTATTTCGTGGACCTGGAGGATGATGCCCAGACCATGCAAGAATACGCCATTGATAGGCCTCCTGACTCACTGACTAATGCTCTCCGCATTGACACTGAACCACAAGATTCTGAGTGGTCTCGAACAAGTGTTACCCTTCTTCGGTGCTGTCAACACTCCTCTTTCAGGTTTGGCCTTGGCATTTACCTCAGGGTCAACAGGCACGAGTGCTCTATGGACTGGTGATTTCGGAAATATTCGCGCAATGGTGCAGCTCGCTCAGTCCAATCACGTGATCGACGCGTCACTCTGCTGGTTCGAATCGGCCTCATCCGAATCGGGTGCGTCAAACCATATTAAACCTTTCCAGTTTAACTCCAGCTCATCAATTTCCGTCATATAATATCGGCAGAATTGCTTCATCTCGCCGATACATCAACTCATCATTGCATACCCTAATTTTTTTTGATTACCGCAAAATAAATCATGATACTTTTTGACAGGTTCGATGAGAACGGGGACTTCGACTTTGATCACGCGGAGTTTCTGGAAGAAGGTAGGCCATGTCGCTGGGATGAATTACCTGGTTTGCCTTCGCAAGGTCAAATGCTTCAAATGTAGCAGCAAGATGTTGCCATATAGGCAAACAGAGTGAGTGAATTGGACTGGTCAATGTCCTTGTCCCAGGAATTCATACTTCTATGCGACAGATTTGTTTGAGTTTCTGGATGGAGATCTCCTCAGTCCATGCGCTGACTCGAAGCTTTTGAATGTTCTTTTCTTTGTTTGGTTTCACGAGATTCCCATGACTTTCCTCAGTTGGAAAGGCCCAGTTCGAATTCTCCCAAACTCGGTGCCGAACTTGCCCAAACTCCCTTTGTTGCAGATCACCACCAAGATGGGTGCACCTGATCCACCAGCAGAGACAGGAGCCGGAGACGGGAGGGTCCACATCCTACTCGGTGGAGACGGGCACAACTTCGGATCCAATGAAATGCCATTCGAGCATCCAATGAGTGCCAAGATGTGAATGCAATGCAATGCATGTTCCAGGATGTTCCAAGGTGTGGTTACGGTGGCTGGCACAGTGACTTTTGGATCCATCTGAGTGTGGGGAATTTGCCTTTGCAGGCTGCAGGCAGGTGGAGAACACGAGATAGTTTCCCTCCGAGTCCATTGCGCAGACCTTTGAGGACCTTATGTGGATAGTGGATGATTGAAATTCATGTTGAAAAACAGGTGCTTTTGGAGTGGGTTTAGTGGATAATGACGGTGTCAAGATCGTGGATAGTGGACGTGGACAGTGGTGGTGCTAGAGCTATACGAAGTGACGGCCGATTGATACGAGGCTGCCTTTTCCTACCGCTGTGTTTTGTGCCCTGCACGAGCGCCGTGCACTGAGAGCAGAGTGCGTTCTTGGCAGTCTTTCAGCTTTGGAAAACCATGCCAATTTTCTGAGCTAGTAAATCTGGAAACGACCAGCCCTGGAGCTGAGAAAGGGGCGCACGGCAAGCAAAGCGGTAAGTGATGCAAAGGACAGCGGACTGAAGTAGTTCGTAAGGGACTGTATGTTCATTCTGTCCGCTACTGTTGAACAGGAACTTTGGCATACAGGAGACTTCTCAACCAATGAGTGCAGGTTTCCTTGGAGAATAGATTGCGCTGAAATTCCAAAGCAGTAAAGGACAACGACTACCCTATCCAACCGAAAACAACCAAGCATGCCGGCATATGCCAGGCATGGGGCATACCATGGCATACCCACGCCATCCCACGCCCCATGTGCCTCCTTTGTTCACATTTTTCACCCTCCAGGTGCAGTAGATCCTTTGGCACGAAGTGCTTGGGCGATCTCTTCGGGGCAGGACCCAAGCTGCGTTGCCCACCGCCCGGGTGGTGCCGCCGTGGTCGAACGTCCTCACGTCGTCACGTCCCGGAGGTGGTCGCGTCCAGTCGCTGCTCGGGGAGGTCTCGGTGAAAGCTGAACCACGAGTTCTGGCCCATTCTGGCCCGGCGTCGCGATCGTCCATTCATTGGGGATGGTGCCAAAGACCTCTCCGACACAAGGCCCATTCGATCAGCGAGTCCACGTCCCGAGGGACCAGGGTAGTTTGGCAAACAGAAACCGTCCTGCAGATAGAAAGTGCTGGTGAGTGCAGGCGGGGTTTCTCCAAGATTCTTGCCCAGCTTGGTTTTGATCGTGCATCGGTTGGATGGTCGTTTTCTGATTCTTTAGCATTGAGAACCTCACTAGGCATTCCAATGATTCTAGTCCTTCAACCAACCATAGTCTCCCCATCTTGATTGCTCAATCGCATGGCTGACTCAGCTCATCGCGTTTAGTCCTCACTTTCTCTTCTCCTGTCTCATGTTTCATCAGCCCAGTCTGAATTAGTTCGCGAGAGAGGGAGGCACTCGTGTGTCTAATGTCAATAACTGTAACTCTGGATCTTGTTACAGTGGAGATCTTCCCACCCAGCTGGGAAACTCCACAAACAAACTGGGTGGAAAGCTTGTTTCCAAGAGGGATCTTCTCACCCAGCTTGTTTCCTCCTGTTTCTTGCTTTTGGGGGATCCCCATGGTGTCGAGCTCTTTACGCTCCCCTTCTTGGGACCTCCGCCGCAAGGAGATCACCTCGATCGGAGGCGCTCACCTTCCCTGGTCACAAGGTATGGGGCCTGCAGACGGGACACAGAATCGGATCGAGACAAAATTGAGGATTGAAGATGACAAAATTGAGTGGCTTTTGATGAGACTTCACCTGACTGACAGCTGCCACTGTTCCGACTTATATGTTCAATTTTGTTCAGTGGAGATTGGGATGTCTGCGCAGTTTTCGAGCTAATTAATTAGAGAACCTGGAAAAAGTGTTTTGGTGAAGAGATCTTTTTTCAGACACCTTCAACCGGATAGGTGTTGATGAATGTCTTGTGATGTTTTATGTGTGATGTGATGCGTGTTCGTACATTTATGTACATTTTAGTTGTTGTGCTTTGGGAACGTTGCAGGGATACTCTGCATAAGGGAATCACTCCACATCCCAATCCCCTTCCATTTGAACATGTTGTTCCTTGAGTTCAAGTGCTGCCTCTTGTCTGAACAGGTGTTCTTTGCTCAGGAACCGCATCCTTGCTTGCACCCTGCCCACCCGCCCCAGATGGGAGCTGTGGTGAAAGGCGAAGCCATGCGAAGCCTTAGGAGTCTATCGCACCATCCCAATGGATGGTTATATAGGGACCAGAGTTGGTGCCAGGTCTGAGGTGCTCCCAGCCTCACACCACCCCTTGGAGTTTACTGAGATTTGAATTAGTTGAAGACGGCTCTGGCAGGTACTTGTAGGTACAGCACCTGGCAACCAGGTAGATTGGAGGTGCTTCTCACAATTCCAGACTCCAGAGCATCAAAAACCGAGAGCCCAATCTCAGCCTGCGTCGCTCCCCTCCACTGTCATAGAGCAATGCTTGTGGTTGCAGGTCAAAGCAGAGTGCTTCACGAGGACAAAACACAAAGAGGCTGACCTTACAGCTTGGCTCACAGTCTATGTTCCTGTTCAATTCGCGGGGGAGGCTCCAACTCTATTGTTCTTGCAGAATGATGTGTTGTGATCAACAACCCAAAGAAGTTGTAGGGATTTCTGCGCTGCGACCACTGGTACAGTCGGTTCTGTGGTCGGGCCAATTGTAAAATATTGTAAAGACGAAGATTGTTCAAGGAGCGATTTCATGCGGGAGTGTCACAGCTAAATTACGCCTTTGCAGTTTTTGCGTTTGCCGCAGTTGCTACAGAAGTATACACACTGTCAAGCACACACTCATGGATATGCGTACTGACTTGACAGCGGTGCCACACGCCGGCCTAGGGTTCCATTTCCTAAGAGTACCAGTAGGAAACCATCGAATCCTGGAGGTCTTAAAAGGAAAGGTGGCCCAAAGCGCAAGATCGAGGTCGGCGGGCAGGTCGACATGACGACGTGTCGTGCATGTCTGCAGTTTGAGGTTCTTGGCTTAGCCTCATGCCATTCAGAAAGAAAGGAAAATCTCAGGTACGTCGGAGTGGCCAACTCCGATATCACCAGATCAAGTGGGCGTCTTCGTTGGTAGCGGTCCCAAATGATCGGCCGCTACCCCCTGCTAAAATCCAAAAGGATCCCTATGATTCCAAGGGTTACACACACACGCCTCCCCGAAGGGAGGCATGTGTGACCTCCATCCTGCCCGGAAAGGAGGTAGGCACATGTGCACGCAAAAGGGACAGATGAAAATGAGAAGACAGACAAAGGTGTGTGTGGTTGCCGATGAAAAGGAACCAAGTGAAGGAGGACAACCGATGAGCCAAACCTCATTGTAACGAACCTGGGCCACCTGAACCTCGCTGTAAGTAAAGTACGCGTGCGTGTATGTGTACAAACTAAGGTCCGGACGAAAGTGCGCGCAAGAGAAAGAAAGGATGAGGATGAAGAGACATGAAGACAGAAAGACATGAAAGAAAAGAGGAAAATAACCGTCTGTGGGGGCCGATGAAAGGGGAACCAAATGAACGGGAACAAACCGATGACAAACCAAACCTCATTAGAAAAACCTGTTGCAGAAGCCTAGTTTGTTTGTAAACGCGCCGCGCGCGAGGAAAGAGGGGGCAGGGGGAGGAAGAAAAGAGAGGGAAAGAAAGAAGGAGACAAAGGTGCTCCCAGCTACGACACAGGCGCCCAGGGACACACCAAAAAGAAGGGCTCCCAGCTATGACGAAGCATCCAGGGACACCCAGGGAAGAAGGTGAAGAGAGGAAAGAGAGAAGGAAAGAAAGAGAGAGGGAGAGAAAGGGAGAGGAAAGGAAGGTGTTCCCAGCTACGAACAATCGTCCAGGGACACACCCAAGAAAGAGAGGGGTGATCCTGAGTATTGCATTCAGGAAAACCCCAGAAAGCAAAGAAAGAACGGGGGAGGGAAGGGGGAGAAGGGGGGCTAAGTGCTCGACAGGTTCCAATGAACCTAAAACTGGCTTTGACCGCTATGGTCACCTTGTGCCTTGCCGAAATGGCTGGCTGCTTTGACCGCTGCGGTCACGTAAAGGCATAAGCCAACTTGGTATTCCAAAGATGAGACAAAGATCATCGTACGTACGGCCTGGGCCACCTGCTGTCCGCTCCGGACACCTACCTCTCCAAAGCAAGGGAGAGAAAGACGTACACCCGTTCGACGGGTCCACGGGAGGCACTCTGCGGGCTCATCCCGGGTTGGCGCGAAGCCAAACACACTCATGGATATGCGTACTGACTTGACAGCGGTGCCACACGCCGGCCTAGGGTTCCATTTCCTAAGAGTACCAGTAGGAGACCATCGAATCCTGGAGGTCTTAAAAGGAAAGGTGGCCCAAAGCGCAAGATCGAGGTCGGCGGGCAGGTCGACATGACGACGTGTCGTGCATGTCTGCAGTTTGAGGTTCTTGGCTTAGCCTCATGCCACTCAGAAAGAAAGGAAAATCGCAGGTACGTCGGAGTGGCCAACTCCGATATCACCAGATCAAGTGGGCGTCTTCGTTGGTAGCGGTCCCAAATGATCTGCCGCTACCCCCTGCTAAAATCCAAAAGGATCCCTATGATTCCAAGGGTTACACACACACATCAAATTAGCACATCATATCAGCTTATCAAGGTGTATGAAGCCTCATTTTGGATGCAGTCTTTCCCTTGCCCATGCGCCATTTCCATGTGCGTTTTGGGATCATTGTCCATCTGTTTGCTGCACACCTCGAGGATGTGTTCGGACTCCCGCTGTCCATCTGCTTGCGGAGCATCCATCACTGTCCCGATGGGACGATTCCCGGAGTCGGCGGCGACATCGCAGGGAAAACGAGCGCGGCAGGACGAAAGCGCGCGCGGTGGTGACACGCGTCACTGCGTGGCCTGGAAGCGTAC